TGCATACCCATATAAATTCTCTACCACATATTTTTCTGTTCAATGTAGTAAGTGAATACAAACAGCAATTGTGTAAAAAAAAAAAAAAATAGCAAGCCCTCAATATTTAGAAATGAAACAATACCTTTGTAAACAATATATGTCAAATAAAGCCAATGGTGTTATGTTGAGTTGTACGGGACTCAGGTCAACAATTTCTGACATTGCCAATCAAGCAGAAAACCCAATACTATTATGGACTATTGGACTCTTTTAGACTATTTTGCTGAGTTAACACACCTACTATTCAAATGACAGAACTAAACAAAAAAGGGGATACAAACGAATGTCCATTTTGTATTTGTGTATTCAAAATGGTTAGGATAGATATATAGTTACATTCTCTTAATGAATAGAGAGATTTGTTCTAATAGTGTTTGTAAATAGGATATCATGTCTGCATCTTGTACAGCAAATAACCACTAGGAAGAGAGTATGCAAGTGCTAATTATTGAAACTGTCTTACCAATCTGATATGAAACTGTCTCATTGCTATTTGTTTCTTAATAAAATTATGGAGAAAAAAAAGTACAAACAATTTTAAAAATGAGACAAAACAAAAACAAAAAAAATAAAATAAAATAAAAATATTTACAACAGAATACCAAAATCTTTAGCCTGTACCTTTTGTTGAAGGAAGATAACTTCAAAGCTTACATAAAAAAGAAGTTTTGAAAAGCGATCAACTATGTTTTTAGTTAAAGAAATCAGAAACCCAGGAGCAAATTACCAAGGTAGTCAAAAGTAAAAACAGAAATAAAAACGATGCTATTGGGGCTGGGGAGATGGCTCAGTGGAATAAGCGCTTCCCTGGCAAGTGCAAGGGCCTGAGTTCGATCCCCAGTTCCACAAAAAAAAAAAACAACAAAAACAAAAACAACAACAACAATGCTATGTACTGGGGAATACGGCCAAAGGAAAAATGAGTTAAATTGGTATGTTGTTCATCATGAATTGCTTAAATTCATTTATTTAAAAAAAAATATTGCATCAAACTATCATTATTTGAGATCTAATGTTTCAGATTTTGTGTCCAAGACAAATGCCTCAGATAGTCCCAGCCCAACCCAAATGCACCTCTTCCAACATTACACTCGTCCTCACTGGCCCCATTCTCCTCAACCACATTATCCCACACTCAGGGATGTCATCCAGGATGTTGTAAAATGAGACATTTGTTTTAAGCATGTTAAATACAATTACTCAAATTATAAGTTTCACTGTGGATCAATAAAGATACTCAACATTTATTTTTTCAAGGATCAGAACACTTCAGTAACTAAAATTATCCAAATCTTATCTACTTTCATTGAAACAACTATAATACATTTTTCAACAGTAGAGCAATAAACTCCTAAATTCATAGATGTCCAAATTCACAAGCTGAAAAATTCACTTGCACAATCAGTGCTTGATTTTATATATTCACATTTCCTATGAGACAAGAGAAATATATTTATTCATTTTCCTTGCCAAGGATCTTAACTAGCAGCAGCAAAGACAACTCCTTAATAGTCACACTAAACCTCATCAGGATCCAACAAATACATGACAACAGAGGAGGGTTAGTAAATGTGTAAGAGTCCTTTTCCTCCACATTCCCACTCTTTTTAAACCAGAAATTCATTGCTAATAAATGTAATGAAATATACTTGAGATATCCAAATCTAGGACTGGTGGATCAGTGGACAGAAGAACATCATTTCCTCCAGAAAAATTAGAAAAGTTAGTAAGATACAAAAGACAGCAGAATGTTGCTAAGACAGTGAAAACAGGAGGCGCTAAGACTTCAGAGGATGAAGAACCATCTTTTCTCTTTTGTAGCTACTTTTATCTGTGGTATTTTGCCAATTCTAGGAACAAGGAGGAGGCTGAGAATCTGGGCTCCAAATCTATTTAAAAAAAAAAAAAAAAAAAACTGCTGCCAACGGACAGAAAAATCAGTACAGATTTTGGCAAACTAAATCCCAAAAGCAAATGTATAATAGTTACTACCAAATATTACTCATCAATAAAAAGAAGTGTGGACACCTTAAAAACATTATAAGTGTTAAGAAGCCAGACACAAAAGTCCAAATGAAATGGTTCCAAACAGGCAATCTAAATTAAGATAAAGTAGATTAGTGGTTTCTCTGAGCTAGAGCTTTGAGTAATAGTGCCTGCTAGTGAATATAGTTCCTTTTTGCAGTGATAGAAATGTTCCAAAATTGATACTCATGATTGTATATCTGAAGATGAATTATGAGATATGAATTATATTCCTATTTTTTTAAAAAAAACCAAAACACCTGTATCTGGTCGAGGGGTGCCAGAATATTCAAGCCTTGGGTTTGATCCCCATCATTATCAACAACAACAACAGAATAAATTTCAATACCCTAAAAGCAAAGCCTCTAAAAAGCAATGAGTGGAGATTTTCAACAGTCTTACAAAGACTAAAGTTAGGGACGGGGGGGGGGGGGGGTGAAAAAAAAAAAAAAAAACAAGAATTGCAAGACCAATGGGGGGGGGGAGAATAAAAAATAGACAAATTAGAGCTAAAGAAAAAATATAACTATAAATACACATATACTGGAACCCCTCACCATTTCCCTTCCTGAACAGCCAGGACAGCTGCCTAACTTACTCTTGTACTTTATCATATCACATCTCTGCCCTTTCAAAACTCAACAAGGACAAGCCTTGGACAATGGAGGCATTCCTCTGCACAAGATCCTCTGATGATTCCCATCTCAAACACTGGCCCAAGATCTTAATATACCCAAGGTCCCTAAGAGCTCTGAAATCATCCATGGGAAAGAAAACTCAATTTCCCTGCTACACAGGCTCCAAGTTTGAAACACAGCATTTATCATGCCTGATGTTGGAAAGTCTGCTACAATACTAGTGAAATTTTCTAACCATCTGTTAGACTTGTCTTTTCAGCATGTAAAGTTCACTTCTAAAAACAACTG